GCGGAGGGCAACGCAAGCGGCCAGGGCGACGCAAGCAGTGATCAGCTTGGAGGAGCGGGCCATGATCGAAAGAGTGGCTGCCTGGTGCACACGGAATTTTTTCTCGACCTTGAGCTTTGAATCTGGCATGAACCGAAGCTTCACGTGAGCTAGCAGATCTCAGCAGCACCCAGCAAACATGACACATGGAGTGCACCGCCGGACACTCCCAGGCTTGCACGAATGCTAACCTCACAACTGCAAGCGAGATGTAGTCTCGCGCTTCGTAGCACTCTCACTATGCCACAGCGCAGTCGTATAGTTCATTGCCATCGCTGTTTGACTGTTTGGAAGGCATTGGTGGACGGCTTGGCAAGCATGGGTTTGCGAGTATGTGCATCTATGCACTGACTCATGCCGCAGGACACACGCACGCAGGAGAGAACAATCTACAAATGCGACGGGAACCATAGACTCAGCTCTAGGTGAGGTTACCAACGAAATCATACTGTCCCGTATGCAGAGGCTCTTTTCGGATGCACTCACCAACGATATTCTCTCAGTGCCAAACGTGCTGCCCATGTATGCGAAAGAAGAGAAAAACTGGCTTAGACTCCACTGGCTTCTGTCAAAGAGATACTTGTCACATCTTGTTGTACTCAGTCGAGCTCGGAGGTCACGGTCGCGCTGATGACGCTGGAGACTGCGCTGAATGCGGCCAGCATGCCTGCAGCAGAGTGCCGCGAAAGCATGGCAGGTATCAAGAAGAAACTATACCAGCAAAACACGTAACACATTCAGGATAGGGTGCACAGGATACCGACGCCAAGCACCACGGATGGCATGCCCTCACCATCTGCTGCCATCGCTGCCGTAGGGGTCATCATCACTGCTGGCACTGCGGCACCTGCTGCGACTTCAAGAGGAGTGGTTCCACGAAGCTGTGCGGCTGGAGCAGGGCCACTGACGAAGGCAATGCAGCGGAGGGCAACGCAAGCGGCCAGGGCGACGCAAGCAGTGATCAGCTTGGAGGAGCGGGCCATGATCGAGAGAGTGGCTGCCTGGCGGGGAGGAGTGCTCGCTTCCGTGTCACTCTGTGAGCCAAATCCTGGATCAGGTCATATAGAGCTCTTCTGGTCACCTGCTGCATGGTTAGCCGTGTTGCGGAACAGCCGAGAATTTTCTGTCCGGTTCAGAAGCTGTTGTCAACCTCTGTGCGCCCAAATTGGGCAAGAGCTCGACTCATCTTATCCTGCGTGGTTTCGCACTCAGCAGGCTGGCTGTGCAAGGTATCCAGCACGTGCACACACACACACACAAAAACACACGCAACTTGCAGAAACGATAGCTCTTGCTTGCTGATCTCTTTTGAACCAAGAAGGCTATTTAGATGATCCAGTTCGACACTGCTACAAGCGACACCTTTCAAGGCATGCGCGGTTGCAAAGGCTACCGGAGAAATTAACACATGGAACATGAGCGGTGTTGCCTTGCCTGGCGCGGCCGGCGCTTGGCCTTGCAACGAACGTCACCATGTCGAAAGCTTAGGGTCAGCAATGTCAGACATGTTTCCCATTTCATCCGGGGCCGTTTTGAGTTTTGCCTGTGATGATGCAATGTGGACGGCTTGTCAGACCGCAGGTGACTCTGTGTTCCAATGTGCTCGGGCTTGGGTTCACTCATTGCGTCCTTCTTTCAAGTCTGCGGAGCCATGATGTCGTCGGTCAATTTGGGTGATGCAAAAACCGTTTCAGATTTGGCTGTTCATAAATCCCACTCCTGCCACGGTATGTTCCAGTATATATTTGGTGTTCACGTCCTATTAATCGCACACCTGGGTGCGGCGGCATCCTAGAGCGCGACTCATTGCAAATGTCAATGTGTTCGCCTCATTTAGGTCTGGCAGGGCCAGTACAGCGAGGAAGCCTTTGGTCGTATCTCCGAGCCACGACTGTACATGCTGGAAGCATTGTGGTCGTGATTTCCTGAAATGGCTTCAACTTAGATGACAAAACACTGCAGCAAGGTACTTGTGCAATGGTGAAGCCCGCCAGTTCATGGGGGGGCGATTGTGAGGTGCCGCCCTGAAAACGCTGCAAGCCGTCTTGATTCCGCCGCCTCTTTCAGTGGTGACAGCGGTCGATCCCATTTTTAGACAAGTCCCGAACTAGGCGATGGATAGGAACAATCGCAAGAGCAACAGCAACAGTCAAACGATGCTCACGGCCCGCACCCTGTTATTGCGATGGCGGTTTATCACTGCTGATCCTATCTGCTACACCGGCCCCCTCATGGGGCGACCGCCGTTGATCCCATTTCGTAAACTCGCCCCCTCATAAGGCGATAGCGGTTGATCCCATTTCTTAAATCCGGTGATAACGGCTGACCCCTACTCACTAGGGGATGTCAGTGTTCATGCCATTTGTCAAGCTCGCCCCCGCACTTAGCGACAGTGGTTGCTACTGCCACCTCTTCAACCTGCCCCCTCATCCAGCGATAGCAGCTGATCCCATCTGTCAACACAACGATGCCGTGTCATCAATGCGGAATTTCTGCTTCCTGGAACCATGGAAAAACCCATGCCGACTGAGAACAATCTCGCAAGCCCAGGTGCTGCGCAGACCTTGACATGAATGGATGTATCTCCCAGTGCCAGCCACATCTGACCCGAAATACTCACTTTAAGCAGGCCTTCGGCTCTTGCTTTGCAACAGCTTCAGGATGCGATGGCGCTGATGCCTGCGTCACTGATTGGGCATTGAATTGCCACATCCTGACGTGGTCTCGAGAAGCAGTTGCAGGGCTCCTTTGGCTGATCCGCTGTCAGCGGGTTTGGCATCGTTGAACTTTCCCGATCCTGCATCGGCCGTCGTCATCAGATCAGCTCGCCATGTCGAAGAAGGGAGCCATACAGATGGCGGTTCTCTCAAGTTCAAGCCTAGTGCCGAATGAGATGCCATTTATTGGTGACTTGTACCCGTCCTTGATGGTGGTGGGCAAGGACAGGGCGACTTCTGCAGAACCCGGAGATTCGACCGTAGGTGCCAATCCTTTCATAGACTCTGCGGAGCTTCAAGCTTAGGCGGGGTATTCTTCCTCCGATGAAAAAACTGAAGGGGCAAACCCCTAAACCTTGATATATGCCAAGAGACCATCCTCTCTCATGCTGACATCCTCTGCGCAGCAGCACTACTTAAAGAACGACACGAGCAAGAAACCACTTGTGCAGGGCAGGGCATTTGCATGAAACGCTAGCAATACTCGCATCTGGCTAGACCTCTGCAGCTCCCGAAGATAAGCATGACGCAGAGTTTTTGGCCTCAGCATAACGAGCCACGCTGCGCCGGATCTTGAGGGCATGAGCAATGCCGTGCTCCAGGTACAGGTCGTTCCAACCACTTGGTCTGGAACCTTCGCTTTGGCTTGTTTAAGCCTCTTCGCTGCCTTTGCTGCATTTCTGGCCTGCAGCAGTGTCGACACCAAGACCCAGCGCGATGCTCAAGAAAGGGCGTGCATGAGCGCATCCGTGCGAGAAGTGGGTTTTTGGATCTGGGTTTGGGGAACATCGCTACTCGTGCGACGTGCCTTGCATTTCACGTATCTGCAATCAGACACCGGGTCGAATGCAAAGGCATCCCTGTTCTGTGGCACAACATGTTTGTCCATGCAATCATGCCGCGACCTGCCAACTTAGTGGGTTTGTATCATTACGCATTAGATCCACGGATGGGGCCATTGATGTTCTCCTAAACCTAGTGCACCGGTTCACACTGCAGTGCCGAGTGTTGTGAGCAAGCGAGCGGAATCAGCCACAGAGCACATCCAGTCTGAGCAACGTGTAATGTCTTTCGAGCAAGAGTAAAGAGATGCCAAAGAATCATACAACTGCGGGACTAACTGCCTCTTCGCTGACTGCGGCTTGCTTCTTCTCGGCCAATGTCTTTGCAGCTGGACGTGCGGCGACCTGCTTCGAGACTGCTTCAGTATGGCAAAACGTTGAAGGGTCTGGGGCCCTCTCGGCTAAAGTCGCGTCGCTACATCCAGTCAAAGGCTATTTTCTGGATCGGAGATCTGAGATCGACATACCATGGTATACTGTGGTTTACTGAACCTCTCAATACTCCTTGTGGTCATATATCAGCTTCAACCATCTCGAAGCTCTCTGCTTTTCGGTAGGGATTCGCGGAGTTTGGGGGCGTGGTCGTCAATTTAACTATAACTGCGATGTTGATGGATGAGTTTTTGGAAAGGTCCTTCTGGCTATTCGCAATCCGTGGCGAGATGCTCTGGCACAAACAAACTTCTCGATTTCAGCCTGTGGCCGCTGAGGCTGACAAGGCAGGACCAAGCGCCGCCGCCATTTGCACCAGCGGCAAATGTAGTGAAGCCACCTGCGTATGCACCAGCGTTCCGTGAACAAAATGCATCTACTCAGAATAAGCTATCGAGACAGGGAAACTTGATGAAACTGCGCCAGGAGAACACATGATTCGATCCTCATCTGCACGATGAGCTGGGCTCGCTATGTGCCTACGGCTGATGTTCATATATGCACAACTTTTCAGCACTCTGTTCATGCTGGCTCGTACGATAGCGTGGTGAAGTCTGTAAGGAGGGACCGATGTTGTGGCGAGTGACGAGGCCTCCTCAAGCTCCGCGGCTTCTTCGGATGGCGAGTGGATCCTCCGTGAAGACTTCAGCAGCGAAGCGCGCCTTTCTGGTGCACTGCCTCTCCTTGCTTGTCTGTTTCGGAGTATGACGATTTCCGAGCTGAAATAGCAGTCCTGCTGGCAATCGTCTCCAACTTAATGCTAAGCTGAGTGAACACGCTGAGAAGCGCCTGGATTTCGTGAGCCTCCTATCCTTCCTCTTCCTTTTCGTTGGCTTCACCGACACATGGCAATTGTATCCTGCAGCAATGCATGATTCAGCACGAGGACGTTTACATCGAGTGAAATCGTCCCCTGCCTGGAACATACACTTGAGAACAGCACGGGCACATGAGCTGCTCCACACTGGAGGCATGGAGACCGACTTTCGCCCCAGAAGCGAACACCCGCATCCTGTCGTAGCTGCTTGGATTTGCGCCGCTTTTTTTGCGACAGGGAATTGCCTTCGCGCCAAAGCTCTGGACACTGCCGGAGCAAGCAGGCTGTACCTCGGAAGAGAGAAAAAAACAGAGCGATGTCAGCGTCGGATGTGGATTAGCAAGCACTCTTTGAAGGGCACTGTGTGGCTGCCTCGAACAAGAAGTTCATCGTGCGGTCTTCGAGTTCCATGCGGTCCAACATGGCGTTGCCAACGCTGTTTGCTGAGCTTTGTAGCAACTACTGCTACTAGTAGCTTCCCAAACTTCTTTTGGGCAAGCTCGAGACCAGTCTGCGGGCAGAGGTTCACGGCTGGGCCGAGAATCGAGATGACCATTTACTGGAGTGGCCACAACTCAGCAGGCAGGGGACAGTCAATCCTCTCAGAACCAAAATCCGATCAGGACCGCTGTAGAGCCTCCATGTGTCTGCATCTCGATACGCTTGACTGGTATTTACTTTCCTAATAGACATGTTGCAGCGCCTGACACTTTACTGCATCTGACAACACATTCTATCTTGGTGCAGACCAGGCTGTCATCTAGACCGTGTTTACGCCTTTTAAAGCCGCAATACTTTTTAGCTGCCGCGCGGCCCCATTGGTATCGAAGAACGCCAGGTGCCTGACGGTACAACTTCCGCTGCAAGAAGAAGAGCCTGTCACGATTGCACTTCGGCAACGGAATCGGGTGATGACAAGCAGCCGGACCAGGCAATGACCGCAACTCAATGATCGAGTGCGTGCGTTTCCGGTTGCAGTCGGGAGGAGTGTAGATTGTGGATGCTGTGCTGCTGTTCAGGGATATCGTATTGCATCCTGCGAAACCGACTGAAGTTCGAGCTGAGTTAAGCTGACGCTCACACGGCAGACTTCTGCGATCTTTTGCAATTCTGTTCAGGATAATGTGGTCTCAGCCACACCAACTGCTGTTTTCCGCGGAAAGCAGAACAGATAAGGCCCCTACTCCGGATTATGAACTGTCTCCTGCTTGAGTGCCAGTGTTCACCAGAATGTGAAAAGGAAGTTGGAAGAGGATGCCTTATCCAGTCCAAGGATCCCAAGCGCTACCGGCTGCAGGGATAAGAATTCTTATTCCCCTGCTGAATCGCTGGCAGCTTCACCAGACCGGCCGTGCAACCGCGATCTCAGACGGCACCCACCCCAAGCTTCCGGCTGACACCGTCGATTGCGTGGCCATCCCCAGGAGCTCAGCAACCCGCCTTCGCCAAGCGAGCTCTCTTGCTGGCGGGCTCTTCCTCCTCCTCGTCATCGTCCACTGGCACATCCTTGCCGTGCAGCTTCTTGTACTCTTCCATGGCAGCCTTGTATTCCTCGTTCTTCTTCTGGTACTTCTCCTGATAGGGCTTCTGTTCCTTCTCCGAGAGGGCTTTCCACTTGGCACCAGCTGCCTTGCCGATATCAGGCACCTTGTAGCCGTTCGGAAGGGTCTTGATGATCTCAGCGCGGTTTTCGGCGAGGAAGACACCGTAGGCACCACCCGCTGGCCTCTTCGGGGCATCGGGGTCCTTCGCCTTCTTACCCTTTGCCTTTTCGTCTTTGCCCTTGCGAGTGATCTTCTCCTTCACACCCCCGGCCGCCTCAAAAGCCTCCAGGTCCTTATCGTACTTCTCCTTCGCAGCCTCGTACTTCTGCTGATACACTGCCTTTTCAGCCTCGCTGAGCTTCTTCCAGCGCTCACCCCCGAGCTTTGCAACCTCCGATGCCCTTTGGCCCGCAAGCTCCTTCTGGAATTCGGCACGCTTCTCGTTCATGAACTGACCGTAGGCGCCGCCGGCAGGTCTCTTGGGCTGCGTTGCGGAGGCCATCACTCTGGGTGAACGGGGCTGAACGAGGGCAGCGCGGATGCGTGAGGCGGCTGGAACAGCTGCACGGCTGGCAGGGATGGTCAATGTACTGCGGATATCATGAGCTGAGACCTTGCGACAGATCAAGCACAAGCACTCACATGTGATGCACAAGGCTCGGGCTCGAGGAAGCCGTCGCCAAAGCTGGGGAAGAGTCATGGCTGACCATAGTGGAAAGGCCTTGTGTTGCTCAGTGTCTCCAAGAAGCCCCCAATAGCACCCATCATCCGCTGCACTCTGTGAGAATCGGAGAAAACCCTTTTGAGTGCTTCAGCACAAGGCAAGCATGAGGCTGCTTGCTCCTGTGCTTCGTCAAGCAGCGATCATTGGACAATGGCACAGGACACACTTTGCAATAACCGGTTCGGTCAACATCGAGTAGGTGGCATTTTTCGCAGCTTTGACAGCCCAGACAACAGTTTGGCGCTTGCGCCTTCTGGCAACCTTGACGAGTCAATCCACTAGCATACACAAGTGAGCTCTTTCTATGTGCACGGTGGTATGCACACTGAGTTGCAGCATGCGTTTGCAGTGTGCAAGGGATGAAACTGATGAGGATGTGGGCATTGAAACCACACCCCGATGCATGAGTGGGTCACATAACCCAACAGTTGTTGCAAGCTGTCCCGCCATTTTGGTGTCATGTTCGCGGCACCTCACTGCTCCTAGAGGATCCAAACCTTCTGTTCAGGGTGCGGGCCGACACGGGAGACATTCATGCAGGGCATCCTTCCTGCGTTTCCTGGAGGGCAATCAGCACCAAAAGACGCCACGCTTCCAAATTGAAGAGAAAACACTGCCCCGCAAACGTGCAAACGTACAAAAATGCCTTATGCTGCCCTATGTTTCTCTTGATGGCTGTGCATCCCGCCATGCTCCTTCAGGTTTAGGAGAGCTCACTGGAGATGAGGCTCGGATGGCTAAGGCCCATGCCCAGCTCAGGCAGCGAAGTGCCCAACTGCTTCGCCCTGTGAGAAGCATTCGAGGATCTGCGGTCAGTTTGAACTGCAGGGACAAGCAGCCACACCTCATGAGCGATGGAGTCCTTCTTGTGTTTATCCCGCACTTCTGCCTTGCTTGCGTGGCCTTTTCGATGTCGGTTTACCTGTGGCAGTCTTCCACAGGCCGTCGTCGATTTGAAGGCACAGCTCCAAGTCAGAAACATGCGCCCAGCATGAGTGTTACTCTCTTTTGGCACGGCTTGCAGATCCTCCTGCATGCATCCATGACTAGGCAGCCTAGGCATGCTCCCCCGAGTCTATGCTCGCAAACTTCGCTTTGGTAGCTGCAGCATGACCAAACTTCGCGTCAGCGTGATCTCAGCCATGCTTCAACTCTTGCGAGGAGAGCACAGAAGCTAAAGTCATCCGGTTTTTCACCGTCACTGTGCGCGCGCAACCGCATCGTGGCTGTGTTGAAGATGCGTTAACTAGCCCACCACTAGGAGGTCTTCTTCCCCTTCAATTTTTTCTTGGCGGGCTCTGCGATCTCCTCGTCATCGTTCACTGGAGCATCTTTGCCGTGCAGCTTCTTGTACTCTTCCATGGCAGCCTTGTATTCCTCGTTCTTCTTCTGGTACTTCTCCTGATAGGGCTTCTGTTCCTTCTCCGATAGGGCTTTCCACTTGGCACCAGCTGCCTTGCCGATATCAGGGACCTTGTAGCCCTTCGGAAGGGTCTTGATGATCTCAGCGCGGTTTTCGGCGAGGAACACACCGTAGGCACCGCCCGCTGGCCTCTTCGGGGCATCCGGGTCCTTCGTCTTCTTACCCTTTGCCTTTTCGTCTTTGCCCTTGCGAGTGATCTTCTCCTTCACACCCCCGGCCTTCTCAAAAGCCTCCAGGTCCTTCTGGTACTTCTCCTTGACGGCGTCGTACTTCTTCTGGTAGATGGCTTTTTGAGCATCGCTAAGCTTCTTCCAACGCTCACCGCAAAGCTTTGAAACCTCCGATGCTTTCTGCCCCACCAGCTCCTTCTGGAACTCGGCGCGCTTCTCGTTCATGAACTGGCCGTAGGCGCCACCAACAGGCTTCTTGGGCTGCACCGGCGCGGCCATTGTGCCAAATGACAGGAAGAAGGCACCGGAAAGCTCGAACAACTGCACGGCTCGCACACACTGGTGATAAGATTCCACCTAAGTCTCGCAGCCGCAGGCTGACCAAGCTGAAGCTGAAGACCACTGGAACTACATGGAAGGACGTCTTCTGACTTCTTGGCCTTGCAGTCTACAATGGCGCTGTCAAGACCGGGAGCATAGCCTCCCACCTCAGCTATCACGCAGGACGGCTTGAAAGGGGAGCAGAAGCATCCATCCTAGGGGCTCTGTGTGTGTCTTTTCAGTTAGTGTTGGGCGCAAAGTTGTAGGAGCACATGCATCTGCATCCATGGGCTCCTCTCAAAGGCCATGCTTCTGATAGACTTCAGTGCACCTTCGCTGTGCTCTCAAGCTCGCCCGCCTGTTTGGTACCATCGCCCGAATCTAAGCAGCTCCGTGGAGGCACCGTCACGTCCTACCCTGTCGACATGTTTCCCACTCAAACACCAAGGCTCCATACAGCAGTGGAGCGTCTCCATCGAGACATATCAAGACCCAAGCTTCATGATGCTTTGTGAGATCGTCCGCTCTCATTGCTTTGCGGACCCATTTTGTATGGACAGACCTGGACTCCGGCCGCTGTGCGGAAAGTCAGCCAGCTGAATATCCCTGCGTTTGCTTGTTGTGATCCGTGGGATCGCTCGCATCTAGGCGAAATGCCGTTTAAGCCAATATGAGCGAGTGCATGGCGGCCGGTCATGCCAGTCGGCACCAAGATGTGTCAGAAAGACCATGAACTCGAACACAGTACAGTTAGCAGCATCTGACACGTTCGGGGGACCGCTACACTGACAGAGCGTTGATCAGTACTCCTTCTTGTGGGACTGGTTTCTTCGTGGATTATTGCTTTCCTTTCGCGGGACTTTCGTCCTGACTTTTGCGCGACATGTTGGTGGCGGTAGCAGTGGCACTAGAAATGGCAGTAGCAGTAGTAGTACTAGTAATCGTAGCAGTGGTGGTGGTAGCAGTAGTAGCAGAAGAAGTAATAGTAGTAGTAGTAGTAGTAGTAGTAGTAGTAGTAGTAGTAGTAGTAGTAGTAGTAGTAGTAGTAGTGGTAGTAGTGGTAGTAGTAGTAGTAGTAGGCGCCCCCCCTACCAACCACCCCTCTTACATACTCTTCTCGCACACATCCGTTTTACTCGCTATTTGCATCACTCTCGTCATGTAGGAACATCTTAGGAAGCTTCAAAATGCAGCTGCGACTTTGCAAACTCGAGCTTCCGATTCTGGACTTGCATGGGTCGGGGGAGAGGGGGGATGACGACGAAATGGTTATGCAGACACCCCGAACAACATCTCCAGAAGAGCCGTTTTACTCGGTTTTACAGTGCTTTCGTGATGTCGGACCATCTCATATAGCCACCAAACGTACTCTGGACTTTGCGAACTCGACATTGGGCTTTGCGAGGGCTTTCGGAAAAAAACTCGAAATTGGTTGGGGGGAAGCTTGTTTTTACGCGGTATTTACAGTAAAAAAGTCATGTCGTATTCCATTGCTAATCACCGTTCTTTAGCACCGTTGTTGCTTCCAGGGAGGGGTGGGGGGGGGGCATGATGACGTACAGGCAGCTTGTCGAACACCACACACCACTTCAAAAGCAAACCCTCCTACGCTAAGGTCTTGGCTTTAAGGGTGTTAGCGAGCCCCTCCCATGTACAGCTGGCATCTGTGTTCGCGACGTCTAGAAGATGTTGCGCTGCACGTTTTGGGAGTGCGTAAAGCTTCTTGGCAGAACCTGAGTGTTGCACGATATTTACAGCGTTTTCGTACTATCCGACCACTAGCAGTTTCTTCCCCGTCGACTTTGCAACTCCAGTTGCTGTCGCTGTTTTGGGGCTTGAAGCTCTGCAACTTCACCGGCTGTGACAGTTGAGGCACGTGAGCCTCGGGAACTTTTGCAGTTGTTATGCATCTTCTGCACATGTCATTTTCGTTGACGATGATGACGATGGGTGAAGGCGCCAGGTGGTTGGTGGGCGGGGGGGGGCTGGCTAGTAGTAGTAGTGGTGGTGGTCGTGGTTGTGGTAGTAGTAGGTCTGCGATCCACCAGGATAGTAGTGGCTGTTGTAGTCGAGCCATGGCCGTGCAAGAGCTGGGCCGTCTTTCGCAGATCTTTCGCGGAAAACCTACTGTCACACTCTGACGCTGTGGCTGGTTTTACAACACTCATTGCTGCAGGCAAAACCTGCTCACAAGTTTGGCTTGGCCTATTCGTGGCCGAAGAATCGCTGAGGCAGCAAGTGCCCACACAAGTCCATGGTTTCGGGTCTAGGGTTCAAGAATAGGGTTGATGGTTTCAGTGCCGATAGGATGCTGATGGTGGTGGTGCTGATGACTCCGACGACGGTGCAATCCTGCTGAATGCAGCTGCCAACTGCGCCTATGCCAATCTGCTAATTCTTGAAAGCCAATCAAGCCTCAAACCCTTGCTGTGGGTGTACTGCGGCACTGGGTGTTCTTTATGGGTCCCTGTGTCCCAAGTCTGTTACGTAAAAACATTCGCGGATTATTGCTTTCCTTTCGCGGACCCATCGCAAATCTTTGGCGGACACGTTGTTTTGCATCAGCTCGGCATTGCCCGGTCTTTCCGACTCACAGGACGGTGACGAGCGCCAGGCAGCTCAAACTCTACCGATGTCTCCTGTGCTCTCCCACAGCACGACTCTGACCCTCCCTGCATCTGCGAGTCCGCTCCTGGAAGTGGCGAGGCTGCTTGCAGCCGCCTCAAGCCAGGCCTCAGCATTCGCGCTGCCTGCAGCGAGGATCTGAGCTCAGCTGGCCGATCAACTTCTGACACCGAAACGTGCAGACGTCTCGCACGCACGTGCGACAAGATATGTTGGACCTTTTTCTACCCCCTTGATGCTGAGTTTGGCTCTGAGCGGTGGCATGGCAATGCGTTCCGCATCTTGAAAAATGCCGGCTGTGCGAATGGAGCAGGATATGGAGCAGATACTATCCTTTTCATTGCTCGTACCGCATCAGCTGCACCGCGTGCTCTGAGCATATGGCACACTGGAAACCAAGCTCCGCTCCAGCACGATTCACGACGGCAGAGCGCATTCTGCTACGCGAATTCAACCCAGAGGCACAAGGCTGGCACTCTCTTCAAGTCTTCAAGGTTGACTTACAGCTGAACCCGTGCACCACACTCCTGTGCATCTCGCAATTTAAAGATAAGTGGCAGTGCCTACGCACTGAATTAGTGTACCCTTACCACGCCCATAATCTGCTTGATCATCTCTCCTCGGTGTCGCAGAAAAATGGCAAGTAGTGGTGCAGAACGTTGCAAGGACAGCGTAGACAAGCCACGATTGTGAGTCTCGTTGGTCTGGGGCGTGAAGGTGCAGTCCTCGAAAAGAGAAACACCAAGACCCCGAAGGTGCCCCGGAGGAGCTTTTGGCTGACATCGGGTCCTCGTCAAGTGGAGGCCTTCGGAAATCCTTCATGGGGTGGTGCTAGGAATAACCGCAGTTAGCCACTCCAAGAACGAGGGGCCTTGCTCGTGTCCTTGCCCTCTGAGAGCTGGAAGGGCTCTGGGACCGTGACACCTTCATGCCTTGGGCTCGAACTCGCCTTTTTGACTTGAATCGTCTTGAAGAATTTAGCGATCTTTCTGAAGTGAAGAACTGAGGGCGTCACGAAGCAAGACTCTCGGGACGAAAGACACGCTGTTCACGTTCGAGCTGTTCCTGCTCAGCAAGCTTCGCTTGTCCAACTGAGCAATCGGCCGCGAACCGTCCGCTGGTGTTGCAGCCGCGGCCAGTTTGGAAAGTGGTGCTCTGAGAACCCAGAACTTCTGGATGTATGATTTTGCAAAACGGAGCTTCTGCACTTGACCTCGTCGCCTATAGTGCCCTGCTATGCCCTGCTGGGCACTGGGCCTGCTGCTTCTTCAACGCCAGACTCTTGAGCTCGAAGAACCGGTCCAGACCTCCGTGAATCTCCAGAGTCATCATGCAGCAGAGTATCTCTCCACAGAATGTAGCCGACTCCTAGCTTGATGCATGCTGAGGCGAATGAAATACAGCCTGCAGATGTTCTCAAATGTCGGGAACAAGCTCCAGACCGCTGACTGCAATGGGCTTGTGGCTTTCCTTTCCATCCGCCCAACCGAATTCAGCTCATTACTGCTAATCTCTGGTGCCGTCTTCTTATTCTGCTTCTCCCTCTGCCCTCACTTTGTCTAGAATTGAGGAAGGCCTGCCGGAAGCATACCCGTCATGCGAACGGCATGTGACAAATCTAGGATTTAGAACAAGAGTTCACCTCACGTGCAACAGCAATTTGATACATCTGTCTGCCTTGATTGTGCAGGTGGGTGAAAAGGTGTGAGGGGCATGGTGTGCTGAGCTTCTCCTCAGCCAGTGCAGATCCAAGACTTAGGACTGCGAGTATCGCTCAGTGACTGCACCTGACGACGACAACGGATCACTTGAAGAGCTGCCAAAACAAACTTGCTCTGTTTTCATTTAATGCCAGGCACATTCGTATGTGCATGATGCATGCGTTCCCGAGCTGCAGCAGCCGACCTGTATTTGCAAGAAAGCAGCACCGCACTTCCCGGCACGAAACTTACACAAGCCAATCAGGTGAAAGCGCTCACGGCAGCAGTATGTGAATGGTGCGCATGCTGCAGCTGCTTCTCTTTTCCTTTGTTGAGTGCTCTACGAAATCGCAGTCTTGTAGGGCGATTGACGGGACCGCAAGTGTCGCTATGGGGCAGCGCACGGACGGCGATGGACCCGTTGAACAGCTGCGAAAACACATTGGGCGGTTCCTGAAAGATCTCTTTGACGCGCGGAGCGAAGGTGCAGTCAGCATTCTTTTCCTGGTCACGGGCTTGAACTCGTCAGGATCCGAATATGTTGACAACGCAAATCTACACGACACATACGTACACACCTCCTCAAGCTGGCGACGTCTCTCCAGCAGGTACTCCGCTTTCTTCTCTTGCTCCTATGATCCAGTCTCGAGCACTTTCTGGGCCTAGGTCCGGTCTTTGCTTTGCTCCTGTCGAATGGTCTCCACAAGCTCGGACCTCCTTGCCTCGGCCCAAGTCTATGTCTGAACTTCGTGTATTCGTGTATCCTGAGATCCGCACGTACCGAGACTTAACGTGTGAAAAGCGCTTAGAGCTGCGTCGATCCAGCTGTGGCCTCTAGTCGGAGACGGGAATGAGCCAGACAGATCAGCGCAGACTGCTTTAGAATGAGAATCGGTCCTGAAGCTGTACGAGTCGGACGGCCACTCTTCGCCCGATCCCCCCGTAGTCTTCATTGCAGATCGGTAAAGGCGCTCGTGTGCACCGGAGTCCTTGCAGGTGACGATCATCGCAGTTCTTAAAACAGACTTACAGCATCCAGTTTGCAGTTGAATCTGAGAGGCTTCGACTCTGCCTGAGGCAGTTGATGCCTGCCAACAGCCCAACAGCCCAACTAAGCGGGTTGTCCAACTTTACGGCGACCAACAGACCCTGCCTCGGCTCGAGAAGTGGCGATCATCTCGGAAACAGCGTTGATCTGCGGCTTGAAGGTGCAGTCCTTTACACTGCGTTTTCACCTCGCTGAAACCTGATCCATGTAATGCATCGTGGGGCCGTCCCGCCTTAACTTATCTTCGTTGCTGCTCAGAGGATGCATTATGGATGGCAGCTAGCTTGCATGTATGATTGCATCACTTCCTTGTGGTGAAATTGCTCCAGCTCTGCGCGCGTCTGCTCACGGCGCTCAGCATCACGAACAGCGAGCCCTGAGCCAAAGATATTGTGAATGCAAAATGCGCTGATTCTTCCACAGCATCGCGGCATCGCTTTGCGACCGAAGGGCTGTGGATCCGCTCCTCGGGAGTCTCGCCCAGAAGCTCCAAATTGTTGGACACCTTGGTGGAAAAACCCAAGGAAGAAGGAGCCAGATGCCAGGAGGCCAGGAGGAGTTTCTCTTCAATCCAGGTGCCAGCTGTCGGCTTGTTTCCGTAATGGTCGGGTGAAAGCGACAGTCGCTGTCGACGTGCTGCGCTCGAACCTGGCCACCCAGAATCAGCCAATTGCCGGCCACTGAGGGTCAGGCGCCCTGCATAGGCCTCCAGTCTCTTCTGCTTCGCCATCTCGAAGGTGTGCTGTCTAGTGAGGAAATCCTGTAGCAAGGGTGCTAGCGTTTCGAACAGGCCAAGAGTTGAATCATGTTCTCCTGCAACATGCTCCGATTTGTGGACAGGTTCATTCCAGTCCTGCTGCTGGCCCTGGAAGTAAACGGAATCCTTGCAGATCTTCCTGCGATACACATACGACCAGCGCGTGGGTGGCATGCTGTCCTGATGCCGTACCAAGCAAGCTTCAGCCACGCCGCGTCTTTTCAGCGGAGAGCGAGCAACTCAGTTCCACCCTTGATGCTTTTGTGAAACTGACTCATGACTTGCTCGATCAAATCACTAGACCAGCCGTGCAACCGCGATCTCAGACGGCACCCACCCCAAGCTTCCGGCTCTGACACCGTCGATTGCGTGGCCATCCCCAGGAGCTCAGCAACCCGCCTTCGCCAAGCGAGCTCTCTTGCTGGCGGGCTCTTCCTCCTCCTCGTCATCGTCCACTGGCACATCCTTGCCGTGCAGCTTCTTGTACTCTTCCATGTCAGCCTTGTATTCCTCGTTCTTCTTCTGGTACTTCTCCTGATAGGGCTTCTGTTCCTTCTCCGATAGGGCTTTCCACTTGGCACCAGCTGCCTTGCCGATATCAGGCACCTTGTAGCCGTTCGGAAGGGTCTTGATGATCTCAGCGCGGTTTTCGGCGAGGAAGACACCGTAGGCACCACCCGCTGGCCTCTTCGGGGCATCCGGGTCCTTCGGCTTCTTACCCTTTGCCTTTTCGTCTTTGCCCTTGCGAGTGATCTTCTCCTTCACACCCCCGGCCGCCTCAAAAGCCTCCAGGTCCTTATCGTACTTCTCCTTCGCAGCCTCGTACTTCTGCTGATACACTGCCTTTTCAGCCTCGCTGAGCTTCTTCCAGCGCTCACCCCCGAGCTTTGCAACCTCCGATGCCCTTTGGCCCGCCAGCTCCTTCTGGAATTCGGCACGCTTCTCGTTCATGAACTGACCGTAGGCGCCGCCGGCAGGTCTCTTGGGCTGCGTTGGGGAGGCCATCACTCTGGGTGAACGGGGCTGAACACGGGCAGCACGGATGCGTGAGGCGACTGGAGCAGCTGCACGGCTGGCAGAGATGGTCAACATGGACGATGCAAAGGCAAAGCATGGCCAAGCACTTACCGAAAAGAAGCATGGACCTCGACGTGTCGTCAACGCTGGGGAAGGATTGTACCAACTCTTGGTGAAAGTCCTGAGGACGAAACACTGGCAGGGTAGCAGCAGAACGCAGGGGCACACCCAAAACATCGGTGGTAAGCCTGCAGTGCAGCACGCCGCTGCTCTTTCTCATGTGCCTGGATGGTCTTATCAACTTCACGGGATGCGAGGTGCGGGCGCAAGAATCGCATCTGATCAGTCTCTCTGTTCCTGAACCGACTCTGTGTCCGTGCCTCTGCATAAAGCCGCTCCTCGACAGGACCAAGTTGCCTCAGGCAATCGACCTGGCCTTGTGATGCGCACCTGCAGATTGCAGGAGCAGGGAGCAGGGTGCAGCTTCCGCCCGAGAGTACGAGTGAAAATCGCTCCTGTACAGCATGTCACGCTTCTTCTGAACGATCCGCTCGCTGCGGTTGGAGATCTTTGGCTGGAACAAACTGCCAGAGCCTCAGTAACAGTGGTCTGTGGTCTCTGTACGTTTCCGGCTTTGTGGATCCCAATTGTGGCCGAAAGGGTATATTCTCGAACTTCTGAAACTGCAATTTACGTGCAACGCTTCTGCGGAACTGCGGATGGTCACGACAGCAGGCCGTTGACTCCCAAATCGAGCGGTGTCGAGCAGGAGTGATCTATGTCCCGCTTCGGACTGCGGCACATGTAGCGGCACGTGCTGAAGTCTTACACTCTGACCATAGTTTCAAGAACAGACTGGGGAATCACAGCGAGGTTGAGTCGTCAGACTGAGCGTGCGGCGTCTCTCCTCGGCTACCTGGGCACTGCGCACCTCGTCAAGCAGCAATGCATAGCACCGCTTGAAGTGGAGATAGTGGAGGCAGGCTGAAGATCTTACAGAAGAATCCATCCTAGAAGCTCTCTGCTCGCGTCTTTGGCGAAGCTCCTCAGCTCGAAGGTGGAGTGGCGCTCTGTTGGCTCCTGCGAGCTTCGTAGAGGCCGACAGCATGCAGTGAACACGTCGCAGCCATGGTCATCATGACCGCCAGGGTGTTTCTTTTTGCGCCTCTGCTCGGGTTAATGTTGGGCTGGAAGGTGTAGGAGCACAAGGTGTCTGCCTCCATGAGCTCCTTCGAAGCATAGTTTCTGCTCAACAGTTTCCAGATTGCCTTTGCGCTCCTTGGCTTTGTTCCTCAAGCTCGCCCGTTTGTCAGCCTGCGTAGAGGACATTTCTGATCCAGGATGCGTGCCTTTTGACAATCGAGCATTCAATCCACGAGGAGGCTCTCGTCTTGGCGTCTGAGAAGGGTTTTGATTCACTGAGCACGCAGAAGAGCAACGCTGACTTGTCATGCCCTAAGCGTCTTATGTCCCATGACTGCATCGAAATGGGATTGGACCATGAAAGAAGGGTCCGGGCATGAGGCGAGGAATGTGCCACGAATCTTTGGCTGCAACCTCAGTTTGGGGCCCTCGGAAGCATGACAAAGCCAATCTGGATGAGCTACGAGTAGCCCTGGCTGCCTCGTGGTACAAACGTTCCGGCAGGGATTCAACGAAGCAGCTACGAGACCGTCTGGCATAGTACCTTAAGGCATGCAGGGGCTTCGCGATCGATAGCTACTTCCTAGATAAGGTATCAGCCTATTCACAGTCACAAATCCCCTCAATTCCCACAAACACGCGCTGGGACTATGTGCAGGTGTCAAAAGCAAAGCAGGACCGCGAGGGAGTATGATTAACTTCATCTGAAAGGCTCGGAGCGCGCGTTAATGGATGGCCTTGAAAGATCAGCACAGGTGCATCAGTAAGCCAGCAGTGGTGCGGTACGCAAGCTGCAACTGCTCGGTGAGCCGGGACACTGGAAGGTGCATTCATCCAGCTCTTGCAGCTCCTTTTCCTGCTTTGCTTGCATGTGCTTCTGCTTCGAAGCCTGGCGAACGACACATGCTGTGAGTCGTGAATGCTGTCTCACACTTGCCTGGTGTTGCACTTCCCACAACTGGAGGCGCCGATCGAATGGCCTTGGAAGCTTGCTATGAAACTTCCAACAAACTCAACCATGCCGGTAACATGCTGTGTGTTCGACCCGACGTTGATAAAAACTGTGTTGTCCTTCAATCGATAGGGTGTAGTGCTGTATCACGCCACTCGGCGACGAGACAAGGCCGGAACGACTAGCTGGCCAGGCCGCTGTCGAGCGGAAAAGTTACCATTAAAAGGGTGGATTGGGTGGGCAAAAGCCAAACGATGTTCGGGCCTGAGGCGCTGCGACGGTTCATGGCTTCAGCATGTTACTTCACACACACGGCAGTTTTACACAACATGCTGTGCACTCCACCCCACGTTGATCCAAAACTACGGTCTCCGATTGTTCCTTTGTCGTTTGGATGTAGCGCTGTGTCACGCCGTTCCTTGGTGTAGCAGGCCGGAGCGACTAATCGGCGCCGGGGCGCTTTCTGTGCCTGCCGAGCACACCGACCCCCCAAAACGCGCCGGCTCAGCAGCGCAAGCAAGAGCCGGGGCTTGTCGGCCACCGTGGCGTGCTCAATTTCACGGCGGCCTTTGCGGAGATCCGCAGCACCGTCGACATGGCAGTGCACCCGGGTTCAGCCCTCGCTCGGAGCTGTCAAAACCATCCCTGATGACGACATCGTCTTTCGGGCCTCGACATTGTGAGCCCTGCTGGCACATTTCACTTGGACCCCGCCCGGCACTGTCTGCAATCGCGGATGGCATCAAATTCGGGGTTTCGGCACCAGCGGCGCACTAAGGCTGGTTCGTCGAGCTTGACTTGGTGCCCTCCAAGGCCAACGTCGCTGTTCAGCCGGCACGCTTAAAGGCCATCCCGAAATCGGGTATGTCGCGCCCGATGAGTCATCGACACGATGAGCGTTGGAATGGCAGGGCGCGTCCAAGTGCGAGCTGCACCTGCCTTTCCAACATGGAAGGAGGGATGTTCGCATGGCCTAAAGGGTGCCATGGAGATCGCCGTCATGAATCCGGCGCATTTCTCCAGAGAGTCGCTCGAGCATGATGTTCTCTCTAGGCGATTTGTATGAGATCCGCAATGGATTCCGTTTTACGCTTCAAAGGTGAAGAAGCAACTGCAGTGATCGCGACTATGTTCGGCATCCACTTGGATCCAACTTTCGTGCACTTGCATGAGGTCCATGTATGATGTACGGGTTTTCAGTAGTGATCTCGTCGAGGCGGATCCCTATGCAACGACGACCACCTCATGAATTCCATCATTGCCATTCTGTCATCCACGGTCGTGCTCAATGCCTGCCACGCCAAAGGGCCACGTCGCCCCTCCATCAGGACGTGCCGACGGCCAGCGGCAGGCCACCGGGCGCCGTCTGGGTCTGAGCGGGCACAGTTGGTGGGGCCTTGTGCCAAGTCATGGTGTCGAAAGGATGCTGGAGACAAAAGCTACGCGACGTTCCGGCCGAAGGTGCTGCGACGGTCTGTCGCTTCAGCATGCTGTTTCGCACATAAGAGTATTGCTCGACACGACATTTTCTACCCGGCATTGGCCGATTGAGTGTTACGGTGACTTTGTGCCTGGCGACTGCGATCGTTCTCCACTCGGTCTTCGCCTGGACATCTGTCTTGTTCGGCTTTCACGGCCGTCGGCGCTCCTTAGCTAATGCTGAGTCCACCGGACTATGGGTTCAATTGCCGACAAGTTCAAGATTGCCCTGTACTCTCAATGAATATGAGAGCCTGAGAGCTTCGTGCCTTTTCAGAGGAAGCCCATCGAAATGCAGTCAGAGAGACAGTCCTGCGGCACTGTGTGCTTTCCAAGTTTCTGGTCTTTGGAGTTTTTTGCCTGGAATCTGTGATGCATCGAACTCGCAATCCACCGATTCTTCCAACAACTAAAACATGTTGAACCATCAATGACGGGCTCAGCGGCCCTTGCTGGAGGCGCGGATCGCGGCCTTCAAGGAACATGATGCCCCCCCAATCTTCGCAAAGGAATCCAAAGCCCAAAGTCCGGCCGCGCCTTGTGGGCCTGGACACTGGCTTGCCGGGAGCTTCGCTCGCTCCGACTCTGCTCACCAGCCCAACACTTCCGGACGCTTGGCCTTGAAGCTGCGACTCTTGCAACGCGCAGGGTAGCAGCCCGGGTTGCAGGAGGGCTCTGAGCCCCCAGCTCGGCTGCGCGTTCTCCGCGGCTGTCAGGCGCGACAAGACGTCCGCAAGGAAACTATCCTGAGCTTGGAAAACACCGGAACAAGCTCCCGCTGCAGTCAAAGACAACATGTTCAGACCAGCGAGATTTCTCAAGCACGATATACTATCCTTGGCGGGTGGCTCTCATGTCCGTATCTGCAACATCTCGCATGCAGGAGGATGCAGCAGCATCGCGGAGAGGACGCTTTGGACTGCAACGGGAGGGGGTAGAGAGGGAGAGGAGAAGAACACATTCTGCCGTGCCCCGCCTCGCTTCCAGGACAAATTCTGCGGGCTCCGGCTCCTGCCTAGATTCCTGGGCCGTGGCCGCTAGGAGGCCACCTTTTGCCAGCGTCTCAGGTGCCCGAACCCGCAATCCGAGTCCGTTCATTTTCAGCGGTTGCGCCTCCCGGATCCCCGGCTCCGAAGAGCTTCTGCTGCAGCCGTTGCCTGCGCTCTTCCAGGAGCTGCTGCACCAAAAGATCTCCTTGGGTGCTCAAAAATTTCCCCATCTCATTGTCAAACTTGGCAGACGCAGTTCCTTCCTGTTGCCTTCATCCAAGTTTCTGCGCGAGATCGCGCTCTCTGTAGTCATGGTGCTTCAAGCCATCGCACTGCAAGTCTGTGCGACAGTGGTTGCAGTAGTACATCTTAGTTTATGCCACGTTGCACCATTTCTGGTTTGCCGCACTGCAACGAATGACTACACTAGCACCTGCATTAGAGAGGGAAAAAGTCTACCGCAGTGGATGATTTGAATCTACCTGTCAGGCTTGGTAGAATGGCTATCCGTCAAGTGATTATTCGGCAGTGCAAGTGCTTGTCCAGCGGGCCATCAACCGGCTTCCATGTTGTGCCATGGCACGCGTCTTGCAGTGTCACATGGTGCCACATGCAATTCTGGGATCGTGGAGATAGCAACATACAGCATCCTAAGCAACATAATAATCTCAGGCAGATGGATAGCGACGCCTGCTGCACTGGAGGTGGCTTGGTGGCCGATTCCGGAACATCCCTCACATACTTCACCTGCTGATGTGGGGTTTCCAAAACATTTTCGGAGTTTCAACTGTCTGTAGCCAAAGGCCTTGCCCTGGTCATCGATTTCGTAGAAGGTTACACCGCGGATGCCCCGTGGCCTGCAGGTCAAAGGTGAACAGAACGGGCAACAGATCGTCTTTGTGCGAACAGTCTCGTCGACTGAGACTGAGACTGCCCAGCCACATCTATGTGATAAGTGAAGCCCACGGCCTGGGGCAGAGCTGCACTTCAAGGGGCAACTGACCAGTTCATCAAAAGCCGTTCCTTCCTGAGCGTGTCTTTGTTGCAAGACCTTGCCTTCTCTCCATCTGATACTTCTTCAAGCACAAAGGTGACGCCCTCGATGTCTTGGAATCGGTTCAAGAAGCCCTCAACAGCAGTCTTCCCAACAAACGGTGTGTCGTAGTTCATGTCCTCGTAAACGACATCATCTGCATAAAATCGAACAGCATCGCCGCCGCTCTCTTGAACATCACCGTACAAGTACTTCACGATGCCTGGAGCTGTCGTCGGAGTCTTCTGCGTGGCAGACTTCGCCGCTCGAAGTTTTTTGGGCTGGTCTTTGGTGAGCGCCTGCAGCAACTGCTCTGTCAGCACGCCTGCTTTGAAAAGCGGTTCGCCAAGCTCACGCACATAAGCAACCTCACCGCGTGAGTTTAAGCGGAGAAAGCAAAGGCCTCGCTGGCCTGTTCCGACCCCCTCTTGCTGGATATGCCACGTGAAGCCACACGAGGATCTTCCATCGGACACGTGGTCAAGGATCATACGAGCCCCCTTCGGCAGCAACTTATCTTGCAGCAAGCTTCCTGACGAGGAGGCAGGAGAGCAGCTTCATTACTGCAGCACTGAGCTAGTTTTACGACGTTGTATGGCAGAGGGCCATGGTGCTGGACTTGCATTTGATCAGAGCTCTTGTTGCAGACAGGCCTCTCAGCTCCTGCCGACCGGCGGCGGGCTGTGCATAGTACAAGTCTTCATAAACACAATCTGCGGCAAATGCGGCCACCCAGGCATCCAAGTCCTCTCCGCTGCTCAGGCCACCGGCCCAAAGACGTTTTACGATCTCTGGAGCCGTATCTGAGCGAGCCAATGCACGCTCGGCACCGCATACCCATACAGCGCCAGCGCCAAGAAGATCACGTCTCGCAACTCTCAGCGATGTGCGTGAACGGCAGTGCCTGCAAAGTGCTGCTCCAACGGCGATTCCCAGTGTGCCGGGAGCTGATCGCAAGAAACCCCTCGATGGGATCGGATGGGCGGTCGCTGCAGTGCCGGTACCGAAAGGGGAGCCTTTGCCGGCACTTGGCCATGTCCCCCATGTTGAATCCAAGTGCACAGCGGGCACGAAGGCCAAAAGCGTCATGATTCAAGAAATATTTCTCCCCAGGCGGAACCCACTGCAAGGCTTTTTGTATTCCGCGTGTGCTCTGTTGCGGCTCATGCAGTCTTGCGGAATGCGTGTCAGGGACAATTGGAGGGATAGAAAGAGTATTGTGTCGCACTGCTTTTAGACTGGCTCATCGTCTTGAGGCAAAACATCGGCTAGCAGAAGAAAAACACTTATTTGACACAGAAGGCTGCTTCTAATGTTGAGTTTACTCAGGTGATGCATGTTCGCTGCACTCGAACTGAACAGGCGTGCTCTGCAGCCGCGCAACCAGTCTCTGGACATATTTACATCACAGTCCGCCGGCGCCGGTTCGAAGCAGCCGGTGGTTCATTCGAGTTTACGCGGACTCGCTGCAAAGGAGCCTCAGAGTACAGAAGCTTGTGTGTGTGTGATCTTATGCCCAACGGCACAGAAACATCGGCGGCATAGAACTGCATTTCAGCTGCTGTCCTTTAACTTGGCCCTAACACAAGCGAAAAACGGCCAGGCCTCTCGAAGCCGTACAATCATCAATGCATGGTGCTCAGCCGTTGCTGTGGAGTACCCACCAAGTATGCATCCGACATGCCAACTACGCCCGTCTGTGTGCCAGACGTTCTCCGGTCGATCTGCGCCCCTGTTTGGACGGCGTCGGTTCGGTACAACCTCCAGCTCTTCGAGACTCTCATGCTCGCCTGACCTGTGCATCCGGCCCACCTGGAGCAGGCCATCACGTGCTCGCACAAGTGTCGACATAGTTTGCGTTTCAGAAGCCTGACACAGTGCCAGCTTGCCACTTGCACAGCCGTGGAACACGATAAGAACAGGTGGTTCCCGCCTCGATCTGCTTGTCAGGCATCTGTGGAATCTTGTGGCCCCGCTTTAGAATGCCACGCTTCCACAAGTAGCCTTGGACGGTCTAAAACTAGATGTGAAGCGGTTGGCCGATACATCTTCCATTGCCTCGAAGGTACGAACGTGTTTAATTGCTTTCATTCGTCGATCAAGCCTCTTCATTGCAGCTTTGGTCTCCTGACAAGATTTGAGCATCTGTTCGGCCCTTCGGCCTGGCCATGCAGTGATCATGGCAGTCCTTGGAGCCGATGTTTCTGGCAGGTGGGAGGCCCAGCCGCTGCTTGAGCTTTTGCTTGACACTTTTTTTGACGTCCCGTGCCTGGAGAACTTTCTGATAGTTCCTGGGCTGGTTCTGATGCTTCACAACACAGATTCAATCTGCTCATCAGGGTTCCGGTGATGCAAGTTCATGCTGAGGCTCTCGATCGCAAGGATTTTTTTCACCTGGGAAATCGTGAGCTTATTCACCGACAGAAACGCAGCTCTGAGTACTGGCAGCAGTGGCGCCTTCTTTGACATGTTCCGGACTTCAATAGGCTTGCCTTGCTTTGTCGCCTGCTGGGTTCACTCAAACATCGTGTTGAACTTGATTTGAACGCTCTGTGGATCCAGATGGATCCAGGTAGTGCAACAGCATGACACCGCACTCTGACTGACGGCTTTCTCTACCGGTAACCTCCCGCCTCCTGTATTTTGGACACGAACGGCCAGTAGCGTCGGGGGGTGATGGTAGTCACCCTTCCTGCGCGGCCTCCGCGGGCCGTGCGCCCGACCCGATGGAGGTAGTCCGCCATATTCAGCGGGAAGTCATACATCACCACCTCGCCACCAGAGATCATGATTCTTGATCTGTTTGGCAATGCAGGGACGTGCACGGGAAAGCCAGGGCACATGGTGCACGTTGCTAAAGTCCAGCCCTCTTGAGGCCAGGTTGGTGCACACCATGACGTCAGCTTTGCCAGCGCCAGCAAAGGAATCCCAAGCCTGGCACCGGGTCAGAGTTTTGCCATACCTGGCTGAACTTGAGGATTTCGGCCGCTTGACCTGCTTGCGCTTGTCCGGGTGAACATTGCCGTGCAAACAAACGGCATTCATGCCGTGTTCCAGGAGGCTTTTGTGTACGGCCTTCATCCGGGCACTTGTACATGACAAATCTGGAAAACTAATCAATTCAACAACGCATTGCCTTGCACGTTGGTGCACGGTTGGTGAAGATCAGCGTCTTCTTTCCGACAGTTGGAACCTTGGGTCCTATGTATACACAGCATTAAAAGCATCTCGAATCTGGGATGCTTTCGCTGACGACAGATATGCTTCGATGAGGAAGCGCGCCTCTCCAAGAACGTCCCACAATACTGACAGCAAGCGCTTGCCGCGGGTGGGGACGAACACCTTCAAAATGCGTTGATACTTGCCCGTGCATGACAGGCACCGTGAGCCTGCTCCAGGTGTGGCGGCGGCACGTGTGCATCTGTGGTAACCACAGGCATGACCTTGCCCGCTGTAGCGACAGGTCAAGAAGATGGACAATGATCGACAAGCCAGCTGCCTGGGTGTTGTTCATGTGCTTGCGCAGAAAAGCCGATACGGCTCCAGTGCGAGTTGCACCGACAATGATCACCTGAGCGTCGGTGTGCTTCCACATTGCCTCCATAATTCCATCAGAGAAGATGTTCCGTCTTTGTCACGACCTCTCTGTTGCATGCAGAAGAAACATTATTGCTTTCGGTGGCCTGCGGCTTTGCCGGACAGTCCTCCTCTAGTCCTTTCAGAAGCTTGCTTGTGTCCTCGCCAGATGTGAGCTAGGTTCAATCTGCTAAGACACACTGTGGTCTGACTGTGGGACGGTGCTTCCTTCTCATAGAAGGTGTCGCATAGCGTGTCTGCCTCATCGAACACCACATGTCGGACCTGTCGAGTTTGACGGCAGAGCTGGACTTGATGCGCATTCCCTCTCTCTGACGCCTCGTTCAAGACCATGTCAGCTTTTCCGAGGTGAAGAATTAGGCGAAATGGCGTAGTCACCACCACATCAACTCCCGCGAAAAGCGCCTGGGTCTCCTTGCGGCTGTCAGACCCAAAAACAGAAGACAGGAGCACCAGCAGGGCTTGTGTCCACATTCAAGTCCTTGACGAAGGAGCAACTGGGAGCACACACCACCGACCTTTTTGAGCAACTCACGATCAGGAGAATCTGCAGGACTGCTTCAGAGGCATCGCACCTCACTGGGAAGTTCCGGACCACCTTGATGGTCTGCAGAGCCAGTTCGCGAGTTGGCTGCACGATGATGGCTCTCGGCTTTCGGCTCTTCGGGAAGAAACCTCCAAGCACATTGTGTCGAGTCGTGCTTCGTGGATGCGGGCATCTGGGAAGAGCCTTCCGTGTTCGTGGAGAGCAGCTTATGCACAATTGGCAACACGTAGGCCAGAGTTTTGCCCGTGCCGGTCTGTGCCAGAATGAATGTCGACACACCTTCCTTTGCGTACGCACCAGTCTTTGGTTCAGGAATCAACGGAAATCAGACTAGCCGAAAACCATGCTCGTGAGTTCCAGCCGGGTGTCCATCAGCATTGGCATCGTCAGATCCTGCACACGCGTTGGAACCTAGGCAAGCCGAGACAAACATGAGGCTTCAAAACATGAAGAATCTAAACTTCTCGGGAGTCTGCCGACACGCCCATCTTCATCAATCCAAGCCTTGCCAACTGCAGCATCCGTCGAGTTGCACGTTGCATTTGTTAAAGGCTTTGGACAGAATATGACAGAATGTTGGCTTTCTCGCCAAGCAGCTGTACATCTCGGTGTAACGGAAACTTTCGGAAGGATTGCCGCAAATCAAAGTCGCGGCTCGCTGGCAAGCCCCCAGTGAAGGATGTAATGGCGCTACTGAGAACGGCAAGGAAGGCAAGAGCTGTCTATTTGATAGCCGTCTCTTTGGCCAGTCCTGGTACTCGGTGTCGATTCTGTGAGACCCTTGGGAGTGCCCTTGGGCCCATGAGGATCCAGCTCTCTGACATCCTCGCTGCTTTCGCCGAAGCCCCGGCCTCGAAATTCACATCTCGGATCGCTTCCAGCTCCCCAAAGCCCTTGCGGCCTCGAAGAATCGAAGGGCAGCGGAGTCGCCAGCCAAGGCAAAGCCCACGGGACGCAGCACCGGCGACAAATGGCCGTAGCATCGCGCTGCCCGATCATTTTCTAAGAATATGTATGAATCATGCTGTCGGGTACGGCTGAATACGGCTGATGGGGTTGCCTCTGGCTACGAGGATTCGGCACTTCTTGCTTCGGCTGAAGAGCGTTGAAAAGTCAAGAGCCAAGCTCCAGGAACTATAATTAGGCAAGGTGGAGTTGTGGAGCCCTGGTGTGACGAGCCTTCGATCTATTCACTTGGCTTCAAGGCCGCGGAGAGAAAAGCGAACTGCACCTGTCCTCATCAGCGGTTCCTGTTAGAGCATTTTTGTCATGATACCCGGATTCCTTGATCCTCTCGCCTGTCTCATTTTCAACAGCTCCAGGTGTCGCTCTGATGGACTTCCAGCACTTGCGACTGGCATCACGATTTCATCCCTATCTACTGTGACGGCCTGTTGGATGTTGATGATTCTGTAAATACCAAGTAACCAGGGACGGCCATGCAACGACCAAACCATTCTTTGTCCTGGCACGTTTCTCTTGCCGGCAGGCCAGCTGCAACAAGCAAGCTGCAGTCACGATCTATGTGGTGTTTCGCTGTCAACTGCAAAAGACAGCAGCAGTCGAATTTGGCCCATTCAGTCACAAGCTGATCACCTGTCGGGCGATGATGCAGTGAAGATGCCAGGCGGCATGCACTCATCTGCTGGACAGCCTGCCGTACTTCTGGAATTCCCACTCTCCGTTGTCCAGCGGGCAAACCTTCAACAGAAAAATGCACGCATGCACACATTCACACACGCACATATGCATGATTGTACACACAAACGCATGCACAAACACGCATGCTTACTACGTACAGACAAACAGACAGACACATACATATATATATATATATATATATACACACATGTTCATAAATACCCTGTGCTCTTGCAAACCCACTTTGATATACATATACATATATATACATAACTATCTGATACAATATAATGTTGAGCATCTTCTATCCCTTGCAACAACTGAAAATCGATGCTGCTTGAACAACACGCCAGAACTTCTTCCATGTACCGAGTTGAGGAAACCTAGGTTTTGCCCACGAAATGAAATCTTATCAGTCTTAGTCCGTCTATGCACCTCATGATGCACCTTTACCAAGTTGTAAACGGCAGCATACTGTCTTTCTTTACAATGAGGTCGTGTCACCCATACCTCAACTTTGGTACTTGGATTCCCATGTCCTGGCGCCTATGCTACCGTAACCCCGATGGGAACCACATCATAGTCTGCACGATGGTTCCTACTCATCAGTGACATGTAAGAGCACATTCGGGAAATTTGTGCATGCATAGATGGTCGTTTCACTTGTAAACCCCATGTACGGGAACGGTCCGACCATTATAAGCACCAAGCAGCATGGCTTTTCCGCTATACTCGCGGGAATAGAAGAAGCACCGCGTGATTCCGCAAAGAAACCGAATTAATGGCGGATACCTAGGACCATCTATTGTCGCGATCCACGCCTAGCTTCATTGCAATGCTTTCTTCCTGAAGCGCCTAAACTCTCGAACATTTGGGGTTTAGGTGTTGATTCAGCACTGAGGAAACAGAGTTCTCTCGTAAGGCTTTTTGACGGGACAAGGAAGACCCCTGAAGCGTTTAAAACACAATCCTGGCTCATAAACACCCTGCGTTTCCTTCAACCAGGAAATCCAGGGGGATGTAGCATTACCCATGACATTTATTCACACCCATGTGATATGTACGTAGATAGAGAGGGGGGAGTACGTGTTCGATCGCACCGTCCTAAGAATTGCTCGGAGTTGGCTGGTAAACCACGATTCGCGGGTAAGGAAAGCTCCGGGCGGGTTCTCTATTCATGGGCTTTCTTTCCGGCTATCAACTTTATAAGGACAGAATGCTCTCGTCAGGGTACGGTTCCCGTGATACGGCTGGTCACTCGATGCAACTCTCCGCACTCGGTGTTTGCATTACCAGTAGCTGCAGCCGAAGGCATGCAACAGGCCTGACGCGTTTTCAGCCATCGAGAGATGCAGTGAAAGTGAAACCTGTGCGCACTTCTTCATGGGCTTGGGGTTGGAAGTTCAGCACCGCACTGATCATGAGAGAAACTATTACTGTTGCCGAGATGCGCGTGGTTGCACACACCCCAGGCGACAGTGCATTCCTGCAGCACACAAAAAGGGTTGTGTGGCAAAATAATGATCCAAAGCCACACCGCCACCACCAAGCTTCTGTCCTCAGACGTATGCGAGCCTTGATTCGCCTGACACTGAACTCTGTGTTCTATGCATCTCTGCTTCTCAAAGCACCTCTATTCCCAGCCTGGCACTCGATGCAAAGGTCCATGATGTGATTTCCTCGGCTTGACACAGACGTCATGACAAGCTGTTACGGAGCCAGCACAGTTATCGAAGTTTGAAACGCAGAGCAACTACTGGACCTGTGCTGTCTGAATTCTCGTGGGCTGATGTGCAGAAGAGCTTCGGCAAATGGCACAGTTGTCCACTACAATGTCCCAAGCCCACAGAGCTACCTGCGCTTCTGTCTGCTGTACAGGAGAGTAGCGCAAAGCAGCAGCGACCCGCCAGAAACAAGCAAAACGTTTTGCTGTGCTCATCACGGCTGATGTGCTCTTGTTCCGTCGTCCAATCAAACAGCGTTCCTTGATACGCCAATGGTTTCCTTCGCATCTACAGCACAGGCTCGCGACTTTGGCAGCTCTGGTGCATCACGCTGCATCCGACCACGTAAGACTTCAGCGACACCTCTGATTTCATCTCCTACAGACTACATCGGCAGTGGCATCGGCGCCCTCGCCATCAGCTCGTGCTGCCCCGAGGAAGCAAGGTCGTTCGACAGAAATGCCCGCTGCGTAGCAGTTGTCCATGACCTGCCAAGATGGAGACAGGAGAAAGTGGTCTTGCTGCACTGGAGACTGCACCGGCAAGGCTGCGACCCTGACGGTGGTCTGCGGCTGCTGGCTGCTGTGAACAAGACGACAGATGGCTAGAAAGTTGTCACGGCCTGCCGTCAGGGAATTTTGTGGAAACTGGTCTGTCCAGGACGCCGGAAACACCTCTTCTTGGCAATCGGATTGTATGCCATGAAGGTTGCAATCTGCTTCAAGAGCTCCTTGAGTCAGCGCTGAAAAGTTCACAAGTCATGGGCAACTTTTGCCTTAATTGCAAAGTCCTGGTCTCCGGACGCCTGAGCCCGCGAGTTAATGTGCAGGACGTCTTGCATGCTGCCAAGCCTTTCAGGTCGTGTGCTATTCTCATTGCAACTCTCCCCTACCCGTGATTCCCGTGGCTCAGGAGTTGAAACTGAACACCTGTAACTGCGTCTTGTGCTGGCTGCTCCACCCGGGGAATCGGACTCATTGGGTAAGGAATTATCTCTCATGAACGATTTGCGCGGTCGAAAAGAGCGGGAACCCGCCCCGCCTTTGTGCGATCTGGAATGCGGGGGTCAAGTTGCCAATCAGAATAAGTGCATCCATTTTGCACCTTCGGGAGGATCTCGCGCAGAGGGAGCTGAGGGAGCTGACACGGAGCTGAGGGAGCTTTTGGCCTTTCGTCTTGGATGTACGGCACCAGCTGCGAGGCGGCCGAGCGATCGGCCTTCAGCTCTTCCTGATTTCACCCCATGGCGCTGGAGACTTCTGCCGGACTCCGGTCTGCGCTCTCTTCTCTGCCGCGGTCCTTTTCGATAATCCAGATGTTCACCACATTGGATACCAAGCTGTCCTGTCAGACGTGTAGCTTCTTTCTGGCGACTGAGCTATTCAGCAACAAGAGCAGTAAACCTAGTAGTCATAGAGCCACTCTAGCCAAGGCCAAGAAGCCGAAAGCCAAAGGCCAGGAAATAAAGCCAACAGCCAAGAAGCGAATTTTCCCAAAGACAAACAATCAAGCACTCTGAAAGCCAAAAACCAGCAAGTCGAGGCTGAAAGCCGAGCTGCCAAAAGCCCAAAAAGGAAAAGAACAGCTCAAAAAAGTACAAGAACTGCAGACCTCCCGTGAAGACAATATGGCAACAACCTACAACCTTTGACTCCAGGCCCCGCACCCATTCCACCGGCGGCAGCTTGGGAATGGCCTGTACAGGCCAGGGAAGCACGGAACGGCAAGACCAACAAGAACAGTCTCGACATGGCGCAATTGAGACTCAAGCCTCCAAGAATTTCACGACCTGAGCGGGTGTGAAAGAAGCGCACGCGACTAGGTACAGACCTCGCGAGCTTCGAGCTGGCGCGATGGAACCAGTGGAACACCGTGCCTGATGTGTAGCTATTTGGTTCGACCTTGCCAGGAGCTGTACGAGTTTTCATCATGTTCTATGCAGTGATGTTAGGCTGACTAAGCACATCGGCGCTCGAATGCAAAGCTCCACTGCAGGCAAATCCAGGAATTCGATTACCTGCCAATGAGTTCTGCATGCTATGAGCCAATCGAAGCTGTCTGCGCAAAACCTCAAGACTGTGCAAGAATGGAGTGCGGCATAGCGCCTTGAGGGCCAGCTTGAAGTGACCGTTGACCATCAAGAGCTCTGCAACCTGTCCCAAACCAAGCAAGGAATAAACTCACAGTTGCTTTGAGCTACTGGACCACGATACAGATCCTTTCGTTTGCAACGACATTGCCAGCGTCTGCTCGTCACTGTGCTGCATTCCCAGAGCCACTGGTGCTGTGGACATCGCGTCCAGGTTAACTAATGAAGGACTGCAGAACCGCTAGATTGCCAACAGTGCGCTACGTCGCTTATTATCATGTCCCGGAAGAACAACTGCAGCTGTTCGCGGAGGATTAAAGGACGCATAATTTCCCAGAAGCTGGTGAGGCGTCTCGGATCGAACCTGGTTGGGAGCTAGGTATAGCTGAGACCCCAGTGCGAAAAGCACGCTCGCGGCCATTAAGACAGGATCACCGCCCTGGCACAGGAGGCTTCGCCGTCGGAGAGCGAAGCTCCGACAGCGGATCCACCGAGCCCGCTCTACGGGACAACGGCCTGCCCTCTCGGCAGCCTTGGAGCTCAGCCTCCACCACTCAAGGCCGCAGTACCGCGAAATCCAGTCCCAACACATGGGCAAGAAGACCGGTTGGCAAAAGCCATGGTACCCCAAGGGAGGCTATGGACAAGATGGGCGAGATGGACATGGCTATCATGTGTGGCCGGGTGCATGGCCCTCAGCTTCTCCGAAAGCGCGTGCCAAGACGCGCTACGATGCAGTTCAACTCCCGGAATCTGCACAAGGCTCTGCCCGGACGACACCCGAGGAGCCCACCACGACGGGTGGCACAGAGCTTATGCGAGCTATTCAAAAGTCAGTGAGCCATGCGCGAAGAGCGGATGGCAGGATCAGGAAGCTGCAGGCCGACAAGGTTCACAAGGAGGCCCAGTGGCAAACATTCAAGCGCCAAGCCCGCGAGGATTTCTTCCGCGAGGAGCGGCGTTACCTTGCGGATCAGGAGAAGATCGACGCCGAAATTGCTGCAATGATGCAGCAGGGGCAAGATGCATCGGAGGAGGTGCAGGCTCTTGCCATACATGGCGTGAAGCCAAAGACCGAGGAGATGGACACCACCACGACATGGGACGAGTTGTTAGCCTCGGCTCCTGCCACACAGCAGACAAGTTTCCTGCAGGATGCGCTCAAAGCTGCGGAAAAAGCCAAGCAGAGCCAGACGGGCAACCCACAGCCAGCCCCTGTGGACGGGAGCTTGGCGACTCCGGAGCAGATGGCACGTGTCTTGGCTATGGCTATGGCAAGCTTGCCCGTTGGTGCACAACCTCCCGGATTTCCCGGCGGAGCAGCACCCAGTTGGGGATGCACCTCTGGCCCGCCCATGCCGCCTCCAAGCAACATGCCTCCAGGAGAGACACACGCGCCGGTGCCTGCGGACAACCAGGCGATGCCACCTACCACGGCCAGTTTGACAGCAGTTTATGGAGGCACTGCGAACGATGGCCAGGGTCGGGCTCCGGACCCTGGGCCCTTCATGGCATCGCCCGGAACCAGCAGACTCACAAGGACGACCTCCATCTCTCCACGTGTCGGCTCATACGAGGCCGCAGGCCGCGAAGAGCTGGAGAAAACCGATGGTACCGCTGGGCTAGCTGGAAAGCTGGCACAGCACCGAGAACAGCGCCGTGCACTTTGCCCTTTCGGAGGCAAAGGGCGAGCTTCGGATGCAAAGACCACGTTCGTGGAGGACGATGGGGATCTTACAGAAAAAGACGATCCTGGTGGGACCCGCGAGTCTCTTGCCAAGATGGAGTGACAGCAGATTGGTGTAGGCTCGGGTCATCGCGATCATCCCCTTCCGGCCATTACATTGGCAGACTGGTGGGTCCTTCAACTCAGCTGGCTCGGATTGAGCCACTGGAGTTTGATCCTCCCCTCGGTCAATGCCCTTGTAAAGGAAGGTTGGGGAGGATAGGTTTTCGATCCGAGCGGTGTCACACAAGGCGTAGAGTAGGCTGTTTTGTGGATTTGAGGCTCTGCTCGCCTGCATACCATCCTCGCTCCTTGGATTTCTCATGGGAGCTCTGGCATCATTGGGTTTGTGATGTCCATTGCCCCTCACCTCCTTCTTCTCTGACACCTGCCAGCCACAGTTCCTCCGTGTCTTTCAAGGAATTGAGGCCTGAGACCTCTTCCTGTCATGCCTTGCCAGTTCTTCCTCACGGCGGATGTCCTACCTCTCCAATCCATGAGTTTCTTGACGGACCCCCTTTTTCAAAGGGCAGCATTTTGCGACGGCCCCTTTTGCTGTCGGGCGTGCCTAAGAAAGGAATCGGTGGCGCAGGGTCCTTCACCCTGACAGCAACAATCCACATTCCAGCCCTTCGGGAAGACCACCTCAGGTTGAGTCTTGTTGACCTGCTTGACTCCCTTGGAGGGTTTCTAGCAGCTTTCTTCCGTAGCTTGGCTGGCTGCCTCTTTTTGGGTTTAATAGCCTTGCTGCACAGAGCAATACCCAGGCGTACCACGCTTCTTGGGCGCATCGGTACCATGCCTTTGCGCGGTGTGCCCATCACTTGTGCCGTCCCGCTAGGAGCCGTTGGGTGCGTGAGCCGCCACATTTGCTGCCTGCGTTGGACATCGGAGGTCTTTAGGAAAGTGTGCTTTTTGCCGAAGCCTGCCGACAAAGCACTCAATGCAGCAAAGCCCGTCGTTGTGACCACCCATGCCACTGAGTGGGTCAACCGAGAGATGACTGTTGGAGGTTTTCCTGCCATCACGGGCTCGGGTTCCAGACTTGCGCTTTGCCCAGAACCTCTTGCTAGTAGGCCCATGTCCTCCGTTAGTACTCAGATTGCCGGACGATCTCGAGCAATGGGACCCAAGCAGTGCAAGCTGGACAGAGAGCCTGCCTCCAGTACTGTTGCGCAAAGGACGGCTCTGACCGACCTTAGAGCTGTTGAACAGCACGACGGACGGCCTTGGCCGACCCTTCCAGCCGACGACCCTTTTACTGTGCAGCCACGTCCGGGAGGAGGCCAAGCAACACAGCTTGAGGAACCACCCGCTGAACTGACTTTTGGGATCTTAGTTCCAGGGTATACGGTTGAAATAGTCCAAATCCGAGCAGCTCCCCCAGCCGAGGTTGCTAGTGTCTTGGACATTCTCCAAAATGATCGGGATCAGATCCATAGGCGTTTGTTCCCAGTGCTGACTCCAGTCCGGCCACTTCCTTCGGCAAACTATGGCCTGGTTATCGCCACACCTGCTTGGGCACATGCAGACACCATCTTGTGCCTGGATCTGCAGGAAATTGACGGGCGGCTTTTCGCGGAATCGGGTCCGACGGCTGCGGACAGTACTAGCTTGCTACATCTAGCCGGCTTGGCGGCGGACTCGCCCATTGACGTGTACCTAGGCCACCATTCGGAGCCCATACAGCCGGGCGAAGTTGTGGACCTGCAGCATGGCATGAGCATCTTCTTTGTCCCACGGTTTTCGCTCCCGGGAGCGTATTTTTTCCTCGAAGACATTCTTTTGTCATCGTATAGTTGGGACTTTGACCCACACGTCCCGGTGGGACCACTCCGCCCCAGCTTGTGCGTCATCACCAACCGCGGAGCCCGTGTGGTCACCTTCGATGACGAGGAGCAATATGCTAGTCCATCTGTGCTTGCGCGGTTTTTGCAGATACCGGAGGACCAGCTTTGTCTTCAGGTTGCCCACCCGGCAGTCACTGACGTCTCCATTCAGGGCTTCAGGTGTCGTGAGGTTTATGCTGCATCGGGCTACGTCCAGTCCAGCAAAGATGACCTGGAGTCACCCCTTGTGCCTCCAGTGTTAGGGTTTGTAGACTGCAGGGCCATGCTGCAAAGTTGGGACTTGTTAGACTCGCCAGAGGGCAAGTTCCCTTTTTCAGACCTCTACAGTGTTCTTGAAACATTTACCCCTCCCCATTGGGACCTGCACCTGGAGAGGGCAATTGTTCAGGACCACCTGCTCCGATACCCTCCCGGAGCGGTTATCTTTGCATCCTATGTTCCGCTACATCAGCCAGCTTTGCCGCCATTGCCCGCTGAAGCTGCACATGAGGAAGCGGAAGATCTGTCTTCGGATCCACGACTCATTGAGGTTGGTTCAGAAGTTGCTGAATCCGAATCACCGGCTAGTGATGCGACCTATCGGAGCCGGACGCCCCGCAGAGCTCCCTCCGCCGACGCAGATAGGCCTCCTCACCCTGCCGCCCCTGGCCCGTCTGATGACAGTGATTCTACCAGCACCTCCTCTGAGTTTCAGGCTGCCTTTGTGGTCCTCGTACCAGGGTACATTCCGGAACTTGTCACACTCCTGCTGCCAGGGCCATCCAGCTTTCAAGCTGTCCGTCGAAGGCTACAGGCTGCGCGCCCTCAGCACCGGCAACGGAGGTTCTCTAATCTCATGCCGGTTTCCCCGCAGCCGCTCCAAGACAGAGCGCTTGTGATTGCTGTGCCGGCTTGGAGCACACAGGTACATGTTGCCTTTGACTGTCTGCAGGTCAATGGCTCCCTTTTCTGTGATACAGTACAGGAGCAAATGGACAAAACCGGGCTTCTAGCCGTGGCCGGCTATGCGCAAGATGCACAGATTGATGTGTATGTACACGACCTTGTTGGCCCGCTATCGCCTACAGAGTTTGTGACCTTGGCCAATGGATACTGTGTGTCTCTCTTACCGTCCGCTGGCGGGACACTTGTGGTATCAGACATCTCCGATCGTCTCAGCTCCGCCGAGGGTTGGGCCCTTGAAGGTCCGCTACCAGTTCAACCAGGGCTTTGGCTACATGTGCTCACAGATACGGGAACAGTCCGGATTTCCCTTCCCGCCGAGCGCCGCCGGTTTGTTGCACAACACATTTCAGAAGCACTGGAGCTGCCACTGGAGCAGCTCCACATACAACCAGCAAGACCATGTCTGCGAGATTCGTGTGATCAAGGGATACTCGCAGATAATGTCTTTGTGGCTACGTCAGAGAGAGAACAGCACCAGGAGGGACACCCTGAACTCCCAGTAGTTTTCTTCTTTGATGCCAGGCCCATCTTAGAGCCATTGAC